GGTGAATACATCTCATATTACTGATTTACTGGTAGTCTCGAAACAATACTTAAATGCGAAAAATAAAGTATACTTCTAGACTGTCAGTAATTGTTGAATATTAAATTTTATCATTCCAGCCTTACCCGGAAGTATTGAGATTTAGTATACATTTCTTTAGATTGTTTATCTGCCAGCACAGATTCCATCGACTTCATGCTGCAGAAAAATTTCACAAAATCGCTATCTTCATTAATCACTATTTAGACGTTCTAGACCTTTCAGCAAGTTCGTCATCCAACCTTTTCTTTGCCTGATCCGAGAAGTCAAACAGAAAAAGCCAAATAAATGCTTATCCTTTACACTCTCACAATGTGCATGTGAAATAGGCATTGCACTTTATCCTCGTGTTGTCAAGTGGCCACTGCATGTGATTGCATGACATGACAGCAAGGTTTCGTTGATGAGTTTATAAGTCAAGTCGTTAATTGGTTTTAAAACTTATTAAATCGCTAGTGGCAAATGTAATAGTCACTTTTTAAAGTTTACTTTGCGCCACTATTATAAAGCATGTGGGAGAGAATAAAATCTGTCTCCATCTGGGGAGGATGGTCGAGCTATAATCTGATTCTTCTGGTTGGTTGGTCCTGATTGTTCAAAAGTCTTGCAAACTCCACCTCAGAGCCTCATCCAAGGCAGCCTTTCGCCAGACAGAAGTATAAACTGGCCTTCCCTGTTGTCACTGTCATGGGAATAGAAAAAAGGTGGGATTGCATTGAAGTCCATCTGTACTAACACTTCAAAAGGGATCCTGCAGAATGGGTCTGTCTGTTGGTTGGTTAAAAGAGATGATTCCGCCTGCCAGCCTTTTGTCTCAGCGAATCGAGGCCACAGTTACGGCCAGCATTTCCTGATGGTCCTCTGAAAGTCGGCGCCATCTTGATAGGTGGCATTTTCGTAATCGGAGGCCGACACAAAGAAGCCTTAAACCGGTTAGTGAATTCGAGCGCCTGTTTTATCAGTAGCTCGTCCAAGTAGAAGAGCTCTATCGGTGATAAATGCTGCCCTTTACTCATTTCCGGCCCCTCTGTCCCGCCTGATGGAGTCTCTTCCAACGATTCGAAAGTCCTACAACTCATATTCTCTTCGTCATCGTCGTTGCTCCCCTCCTTCTCCTCATAGTAATCATCATCATCATCATCATCATCATAATCATCCTTATCTCCCATCATTTCATCGCTTTTGTAAGGTAACGAGCACAGGCCTGGGTTCGAGAGCCTCAGCCAGTCTGGGAAGGTCTGTTGTCTCCTCGAGCCCCGGTAGATGTTGTGCTGTTGCGATTGAACCTGCGTAAGTCTGCCTGGCACTGTTCCAGAGGCAGTGGAGCTGACTGATAGCAACGGATGCACAGAGGTTGTTGTCGCCTTTCCAGACTTTGTAGAGGGCCGCTTGGCCAACCAGAAAGTCTGAACTACGGGGGCTAGTTCGAGTTTTGCGTCGTTTGGCCTCCTCAAAATGTCATCAAAGTGTCCGATCTGGCGGTCGAGAGGATGATCCGGCTCAGTCTGACGTGAGGCATGTGAATACGCCTCGGAGAATAGATGCTTTTCAGAGGTGGCAACCTGCCTGATTGGTGGGATTAACTCCGACGAGGCTCGAGAGGGGAAGTTTTTCGACTGCTTTGAGGCCAATTCGACTGTGCTCCTCTCGCCGAACACCCCATGAAGGGACTTTTTGTCCGATCTGCCCGCAATGGCAATGTCGCCGATCTCAAGGGATCGCAGACTGACCTCTTCCGTCTCAACTTCCTCATTCTCGTAGCCTGTACCGGCACTGAAGATACAGCTTGTGTCGTCGGCCAACTGTTCAACCAGGTCGTTCGGGCTCAGCTCGTCGTGAAGCCGCGTCGAACTCGGCAGCCGCGACTCGTCGCCTTCCATGCGGATCCGTTCAACTGGGCGAGGCGAAAGCTGTTGCTCTACGTCCAATGAGGCATATCGTTTCGACTGCCAGTGTCCCGACATCTCCAGCCTCTTTGGGCTCAGTTTTCTGCTATCCTCCACTTCCGTCCGCCTCAAAGTAGCCGCCTCGACGCGTGCATCGTCTGCACGAACGAGGCCGGTCACGTCGCTCTCGGACTGCGTCCAGTCCGAGACCGACAAGGCGACGGATGGACCCGTCTTGTCGTCATCCTCCAGCTGGCCCTGACCCCCGAAGCCCACACGATGATGCCGGTTTCGGCTCTGTTGACCCTGTTTCAGGCCGGAGAGGCGAGCTGATCGCAGGCTGGCGAAGATCTGCTGCAAAAAGAGACTTTTAGACCGGCCGGTCGGATGAATTGGCCGCGATGACGGCTCGTCAGGACATAGACTCGACTGACCGAGGACTGAGGTTTGGTTGTCGGTGTTGTGTCGAGCCGAGGCTGGCAGGGCAGTCGAGGGCTGGCGTTCGAGACCGAGGATTGTGGGTATGCCGGAGCGGAATTGGGCCAATTCAATGACGTCTTGTTCCTGCGAGACCGCGACTGGAAGGCGGCAAAGATCAAGACCCAGATTTTCAATTATCGGCTTCAACTCGCGTCTCGAGATGCCCCAACTCTCGGAGCGATTCTTCAACAGACCATGTCGTTCACCGCCAGTCCGACCAAGACTGACAGCATTTTGGCTGGCGATGGCGCCGGTTCTCGACTCAGCTTGAGTCGCCTTCTCGAGCCGTCGGTAGACCAGAGTGCTGAGATCCTCGTAGTCGCCCTGGTGCCATATGAGACCACCGCTGGCCAGGCCGAGGGGGTCGGAGATGTCAGCCACGTCGACCAGCACTCCGACAGCGGTCGCCAGTTGGTGACGTGTCGTGGGACAGGCCTGCTCAAATGCCTCGAGAATGCGCTGATCCGTGCGTACCAGACGAATCGCCGTCACCGGTTCCGAGAGAAACTCGACGGCAGCTGTCGCATTTGAGTCGTCGTTCAGCTCGACTGTCGTTGTCGTCGTTGTCGTCGTCGACGACGACGTCGTCATTGTCATTGTCGTCGCTTCTTCCTCCACTTCCGGCATTGGCGTCGAGGCGCCCCTCAGCATGTCGACCAGGTAGGGCAGCAACTGTTGACTCTGAGCCGAATGATTGCCCCCATGAACGGCATGACTGCCAGATGTGGTCGCAGAAGCCGTTGTCATGGCAACTGGTTTGATAAGACTCCTTGGGCGATAGTAGTGTGTGAGTAGTGCTTGAATAGAGGCGAATTGCTCCACAAAACTGACCTCGGCATACTTGGCGAGCATGGCGAGTCGCCGTGAGCGTAGGTTCAAATCACGACCGTCGCAGATGATCCAACGAATTGTGGCCAAAATTAAGCGTTGTTTGACACCCTCTACGTCGCTAAGGCGTCGCGTCAACAGGCAGGCCTTGCGTAACAGTTCTTTGGGACTGTCGCCCTTGTTGCCACCCAGTCTCAAGGGTCGCGATGACGACTTTCCCGCCTCGTTTAAATCCTCAACCGGCAGCATGAAGAAGGCAGCGTTCTCGGAGGAGAGGAGGCTGGTAATGTCGTTGTCTTGAGGGCTCGTGAAGACGCCGGAGGGCAGCAGTTTGACGGCATCACGGCACTCAAGTGTCGTCACGGCCTTGGCCAACGGTAGGATGCTGCGCATCGAGAGTCTGGGCAACATGTAGACCAGTCGAGCCTGAGTTTTGCGCACCAAATCGGCGCTTCGACTCGGCCTGACGACAAGTCGGCCGTCGAAATCAAACGACTTGTTCCACCAGTGCTGGGCAATGCAGTCGAGGAACTCGAGCAACGACTGAATGCGTCGTCGGTAGGCGTCCAACTCGGCCGTCAGGCCGGTATGCTTGACCTGCTTGATCTGACGCCCGGGCACTGGCTGCTCGGTACCGTCGTCGGAGAAGAAGCGCAGCAGAGGAACCAACTGGCTCGGATCGTCCTCCGAGAATAAGGTATTGGCGAAGAAGTGGTCGCATTCTGAGTCGCTCTTGTGCATCTCTCCGTCAGTTACGGATCTGATCCAAATTAATCTGATCCGATCACCGACAACTTGACGCCCTCACTCCGCTAAGAAGACTGTGCAACTCCACTCAGCCTATTCAACACGCCCAACGCATGGCCCACTTGCTGAAGCACCAATTGAAAGAATGAACATTATTGATCGAGGCCAGAGGTCACATTTTTCGTCAAATTGCCCTCTGATCTTCGAAGGGAGCGGCGGTTTTGACTTTACGTCTCGGATCCCAAAATGGCAGTCCTTCGTGCCTACTCGTGTTCATCAATTCGCTACTCCCTTGAGAAATCATACTTTTAATAGCCGAAACACAACATACAGTCCACCCCAAATGAACCTATCCTTTGGGAAGCGAGGCCATGTGAAACGTAACATCTGCACAAATACCAGATCCACTGATAGTCGCGAAAACCTACTTATAAGCTGAAGATGAGTAGTGTAAACGATTGCTTCAACGGCAATCCCACCGCAGAAATGTGATATAAGAAAGGCCTAGGCTTGCCTTAAAATTCACCTCTGCCCTGTGAGCCAAGGGCACTCATTGCGGATTCGAGTCCCTTCGGAGATACTGACGAGGCCCAGGTGAGGAGGCAACTGCAGTAAACTCCTGATTGGATGTGAATACTTTAGAAAGCAAAGCTGTGTATACCTTAATGGAACCATTAGACCTACTAATATCAACTACCAGTCACCTTAAAAAAAATAGGGTGAATATAGATTAAATCACACAGCATACACATAGAGTTGATGATTTTACTCTATGTGAAGTATCTCCAAGGCCTAAAGTGACCCTACCCATCTCTTTCATGCTTTTCTATGGCTAACCTGTTATAATGAAGAAAACACAAGTGGAAAATTATGAATGGGATAAAGAGACTCTGGAGATGCGATGCGAAGGCAGTGGTGAAGGTGATGACAACTCACCAATTCTATTTTAGGGGTACATGTTTGAAAGACATTCCAACAGACGAATACATAGAACAGTATGACTATGAAAATTGGCCTCAGTACCAATGATGGGTTTTAACTCGGTGCTGAGGATGGAGCCTGACGATGATGACGAAGCATGGCTTGGTACATTCTGCAAGGCCTCTCAATCACCCCGAACAAGTCGAGAAAACACGGTCATACCAGCATAACATGACTAGCGCTAGGATATAATAAAAATTTTTGCCGATAGTCATACTAAATTCTTGCATGATACAACTAAATTTAGGCATCGAAATTGTCTAAACTCATTTGCTCAATTTTATTGTGTTTTCATTGAGACCTGAAAGTGCGCCCTGTCCACTGAGATAATAATTATGATAATTCCCCACACCGGACAGTGGTAATACTGACCATGCTGTCGGTGAAATGTCTGGGAAAATCCCAAATCGACAGTCTGTTACGTGACTGCGGAACGTGGACAAAATAGGTCTTTAGAGGTATCCCTGGCAGGACGAGCAAGTTGTGAAAATAAAGTCAAACTGTATACTGTGACATGACTTTCCATTTCGAAGGAAAAGTTGGTTAGAAGAAATTCGTGATGTGGTCTCACTGGAAGCAGAAAGAGCGTTGTCGCGTAGGCAATACTGTTGTAGTGTGCGAAGAAGCCCTCAGATCACCGTCCTGCAACCCTGATGAATATGTGCTAAGCTTTCTTATGTGCTGTGACAGACATCATCAGGACAGGTATCCATACTTGAAGAAATAGGGCAAAAATATACTAAACCCAGAGAAAAAGTGACCTGCCGCAACCCTGGTCGCCTTTCTATACACTTAACTTTGCGATCTTAATGAGGTATCGCATGATTTGGTTGGCTACTTCAACTTTATTCGACATGCTTGCTGATGAGTGAAGTCACTTCATGAACCGGAAGTTCATTCGGGAGAAGCTGTTTGCTTAAACAACAAGCTAGATTGTGACGTGAGGTGTTGCAGCCGGCCAACTTTTCTCTTGATTCAGTATATTTTTGCTTTATTTCGTGAATTATGGATTCCTGTTCTGATGATGTCTGTCACAGTACAGACGAAAGCCTAGCACAGTTTCATCGGGATCGCAAGACGGTGATCCAAGGACTTCTTGGCATAACATAAAGCACAACACATTACGCGATAATCCTCCTTTCATTTCCAGCTATAAAACGTCACGAATTCCTTCCAACCAACTTTTTATTCGCAAGGAAAGTCATGTTACATCATATCACTAAGGCAGTCTTCGAAACCTAGTTTTTCTTCAAACTAATATGTTACCAAGGAAGGTGACTGGGGCCAAAATTGAGGCCTCGCCATTTTATATTGCGACAAGATAATCTGTATATGAACCTTATTCATGTCTTTTAAGTTAATAAAGGATTGATGGCTGAATTTTTCAGCAGCATTATAAGTAGACCTCAAAATAACAATGAATTTCACATAGCACTGCTTTCCAAAATGTAATCTCATCTATGTTGGACTGAACGGCCGTATCGAATTCGCATTGGTCTCATTAACATCCCCAGTGGGAATGTAACCAGGCTAATTCACAGTTTACTGTTAAGATGCACCATTACGCCACAACCTCACGAGGTCAATTGGATTAAAAGTCAGATGTGAATTGTATAGCAGGCGAGGCCTTTCAGATACAACATGTAGTATGATTGTACATGATTGTGGTACTTAAATTGATAATTAATAGTATAAAGACTGTCAGTATCTCGTGTGTACGAAAGGTAGTCATCTTTTTTTTTTGGCAGTCTTCTTTCTTTGTAAACGAGTAGGTTTTCAAGACTATCAGTAAATCAGATATATGAGTTGTATTCACCGTATTTCTTTTAAGTTGATGAAGGACTGGTATTGTTAGGGGGACCTTCATTTCGAATAAAAT